TTCAATAGCTGGGGGCATAGAGGCCAGAAAATTTAAAGTAGGAGAAGATGCAACACCATAAATTGCTCAGAAATGGAAGAGCTCAGGGCTTGAAAAAGAAGTGGAAAGAAGTTGGACCTCCTTGATAAAACCTTCTTGACTCTGTCCTCCCTGCTACAGCTAGTGCTTCACAAAAACCTAAATGCAGGCACAACACGAAAGCATGCATGCTAATCAGTGTCTTGATAAGGAATGCAACACCACTACCACAGAGACTGCTGGATGGCACCCAAAATTAACAGAGCTGTCTGTTTATTGTATCAATCTCACATTTAAATACACATAATTTCATCAGTTAGGATGTACATATTCAACAGATATAAGCCACAACATCAAAACTAAAAGATCTTGAGAATAAAATTTTGATTCATCACTGTATTCAATTACGCAAACTTATGGCATTCAAGTCCCAGGTTTTGAAGTTTCAGGAACAGCTCACAGAAGCCTAATGCAATCTTCACATCAGTTGGCTTCATGGCTAAAAGATTTTTACCAACTTCACAGCGGTTATGTTCAATGACAATGGGTAAAACTTTACTTCCCCTATCCTAAATAGAGTTTAATTCTTTACGCTTCCTATCTGTTTCTGCGGCAACCTGACTATTTTCTCTACCCTAGAGTTCTAATATTTGTAAGACATTCATAAATTGCCTGTGTTCAAGAAGCATTTGGACAATACTTCAAGATGTATGGTTTAATTTTTAGGCTATCCTGTGTGGAGTCAGAAGTTAGACTTGATGATCTCTGTAGGTCCCTTCCAATTCGGGGGTTTCAACCATTTATACGGGAACAATAAACACAGAATATTGTGCAGCATTAGTCTTGGAAGCGTTCAAACTGTGTCATTCTTACTGAATATATAAGGGCTTACAATTAAGTTTTTGCTCATATGGAATTATGTTCTGAATAACTATGAAAATAAATGAAATATTAACCAGTGTTTCAAAATGTCAAGTACTTCACCTTGCATAGAACTGACAGGAAAAGTGGACTAACCATTTACAACTTTTTCCTCATGCTTTTAACTGTGTGAATGTTACTATACTTTCTTCATGTAAATAAAAATCAATGGCTACCAACCACTCAGTAAACTCAAATAAAACTATATATTCCTACTTTCCCACTATTAATGTGTAGACATCTCACTTTATAATCATCTCTCTCAAAACACACTATTAATCTGAGACCTACTTTATGATCCAACACTACACCTATTATTTTATAACAAACCACCAGGAAATGGGGTAGCAAAGATGATAGCACATTAGCTATCAAATTCCAAAGAGTTTCCTGTTACCCTATAGTAAGATAAAAATAAAGGCAGACACCCACCCACACTGCTGTCAGTGAATCAATCTTGCCTTTGGCATTATTTACAGAATAAAGGACAGCCACTGTCCAATATTCTTAGAATAGTTTGCACACAGTCTAGGGTAAGATTACTTTCACCAACAATCACACTGTCCATGAATAACAAGTCACTGAACTTTTCTCCTGAAGCAGTTACAGTTGTAACTACACAGTAAATCATCTAATCAATCCCACGCCAGAGAGCAGCCACAAGCCTAAATTGTCCCTGAAAATGACAACATGCAACATCTGCTACAGTTTGCAATATGGTGGGGGAAGGAAATAAAATGCTACTTTGGGAATCAATCAATCAAAGAGTTCATTTAAATATGGGTTGGGGACAAACGTATGCCTGATGAATATGACACATTTCAAGTATATTCATAACAAAACTATTAAGTCAATCGTGTCACTTCACCAGAAGCCACAGAATTAGTGAATAAATACTACTTCCTCTGAGAACAGGCAACCAAATTCCACATATAAATTATTTTTAAATGAGAGCTTAATTAAAAAACCCCAGAAGTGTAGGTAGTACCTGTGTCCCTTCATTTAAGTTTGATACACATCACAAAACAACCCTACCTGGAACTGTGAGGGGTAATGAATACAGCACACTTCTGATTCTCAACTAAACAAAAGGTAGCTTCAGAAAATCCATTTAACGTGTCACAAATGAGAATTTCAAATCCATGTGAATGCTAATGCCTAAAGTAGAAGCAGCAGCAGTTTGACAGACACCATTTTCTTCACACAAGCTTCCATACCATAAATACAGTTGTGAAATCAACTCAACTTTGATTTAGAAAGCCTAGAAAACAGTATACTGGCATCACATGAAATTATAGAAGTTATTAATCTGCTTGTTTTGACATAAATGAAATAAGAAAGTTTAAAAGGGCTGACTAAACAGACCAGGCAGACACAAAAAATTAATGTGTTCTGTCCTCCCCTGCCTTTTTTTCTCCAATGACTGGTCCAGTATCAGCTGCTTTAGGAATTTATAATCCTGTAAAAAGCTGTGATCAAAGACCTTAAGAAACATGCAACTTTTACAGCAGCTGAGAGTCTCTACTAGAGACAGAATGTGAAGTTTTATACCTGTGCTTGGTTTCTTTTGCTGTTACACCTGAAACAGCCAGGCTGATAACATTTACTAAAACACCCTAAAACAGACTAACAAAGAGCTAAGAAAAAGGAGCTTAGGGTGTAGTACAACTAATTGCTCCATACTACTAAATAGCCAATGTGATCCACACTGCCTTCCTAGCAGGTCAGCTAGCGTATGCAATAAAGCACTATAATGTAGCTTCATTGATGTGAGTCCTCTGTACTTACACACCACCTTCCTCCCTCAATCACAGACAGCTGTATCTGTACATCCAATGAGGAAGCAAGGAAAACTCTGTAATCATATACTTGCTACTGATAGATTAAAACCAAACAAAGAACAGGAGCTGTATTTTCAAAAAGAAAATAAAAGGAATTCATCGAGAGACCTGTACAATAATGCAGGTTTGAAAAGACAGAATAACCAATAAACTGGAAGTGATTAAGTCAGCACACAAACAAGAGGTATGAAGTCATCGCCTGACTTCCAAATTATTTGTACTTCTGAAGCAGCTAAATCGCTAAAGAAAACCCTAAGCACTAAAAATAACACACGAACCCATAACCCAGCAAACAGAACCAGAACTATGAGACTTCAGCTGATTTCTGGCAGCAGCAAAAGAAAAAGGATTAATCTATGTGTGTGCAAATAATACTTTTTTGAAGACATATCAAAGCTGATGTGTAGATCAGCTGAGAAGTGTTTGCACTACAGCAACTGCTGCTATCTAATTGTCAGCCAGGCAACTAACAAGGTTTCCTGTAACAACAGATTAAAACCAACTCAAAGGAACTTTCCATAAAGACTACTGCAGATGTTTATTTTCTGGTTTTAGCACTGTATTTGCCAAAACTATTTTGACATTAATTGGTTCTAGCATTTGCATACAAACAAGGACACAATTAAAAATCAATTCTGCTGCCTTAAAACATATGGGGGAAGTACATGGCATGGGCTGTGCATCAACCAACACCACGCAACTTGCTCTTTAGGAGTTCCACCAAAGATCTACAAGCCTACAAACACAGAAAGCTCCACTTTCAAACTGCCAACTGCAATTAAAGTAATGCAATTTAAAAAATACTTCTGCAAACCTAGAATCAACCTGTACTACAAACAGATCTTATTCAACATTGAAGGATTTTTCTGGTCCCCCTAGTCCATAAGACAGTCTTGTCACTGGCCCCTCAAACTAGCAGGTTTTAGAACTGAGCCAGAGTTGAAACATACTGTCTTGCTGTCTCTCTGGAAGTTCTGTGTAGTCTAGGGGAAAATGAGCAATAACACAGCTATGGATGCTGCAATTTTTACTCATTATCAAAAATAGCTTTTTTTTTTCAGTGTAAACAGTATCAGTCACTTTAGTCCAAAAACTTCGCCACTGCCAATATAAAGAGTTTCTAACTACTTGTAGTCTGGACCATATTTATACTACGAGTCAGCCTAAAGACGCTACAGCAGTTCTGCAGCTGCAACAAGCCTTCAAAGAGGACCAAGCACAGGGAAGTTAACAGCCAAAATTAATTCATGTACTAGAGCATCAAAACTAGTGACTTTTTGTAGGTCACTTTCTCATAGTATAGCTAGTACTTCTAAAACCCATGAAAAGAAACTAATGCTGGCAACATCTCAGAAAGCAGTTTTCTCCATCTCAAGACTACAAAGAGCTAACAGAGACTTGCTACCTGCAGTTCATTATACATTTAATACAATTTTTTTCATATGTTACAGAAAGAGAATCTGTTTGGGTCAAGCTAAATCAGAAGCACAGAAGGACTTCAAACTCAGAAGTGAATTTTTAGTTGAGACAATTACTGTTACAATTAGCTCCTTAGTTGTAGCGTTTCATGCAAGAACCTATTAATCCATTCAGGGCAGCCTGAACTGGCCTGACTGCACATTTATTTTTCTCCAACATCACAACCCTCACAAATCAGGATGAATCCTCTTACACACATTGCAAGCATCCATTCAGCAAAAGATTAGCATAATATTAAGGCCATCTGAAGTACAGAAATGAACAGCACTGAATGTTTTATTGTGCAGCCATTTGGTTACGTGCAAGAGGGAACAACTCAGCCAGGACATCTGGCACAAATTACCATCATTACAAAGTTTTGCACAATTTTAAGAACTCTGGTCAGCACCTGCATGTCAAAGTGAAAGTCACAATGCGCTCCAGGACCTATTCTTAAGGAAAGCCAGTCTGGCAGGACTGAGGAACCAAAATACCAATCTGTTTTGGCACAAAATTAAGCGGGCACAGAATACTCCACCTTCCTTATAAAGCTCAATATTACAAGGCTAAACATTTCGTTTGTTTTTGTTTACATGGAAAGGGCCTATTTAAAACAATATTCCTCCCCCTGTTCATAAACCTAGTATGACAGTCAAGAGAACACTCTACTGCTTGTAGCTGGCTATTTGCTTTTCCTGTCCTGGCTTAGAGAAGCTGAAAGCATGAATTAAGTCATAATCACAGCTGTCCCAATTCACCTACCTGATATAGGGATCCCTCCCAGACCTGTGCTGTGTTGTGGTGGGAGAGTCAAGTCCAAGAAATTACTATTTGAGGTGGGATTTGCTGTGTGGTTCAAGTGCATGATGCTATTGCGTGGGAAGGCCATCCAAGGATAGCGAGCTGCTTGGCCTGGAAAACTGAAGGAGTTGTAAACTGCTCGATGTTGTTGAAATTGTGGGAACCTCTGTGGCATGACTGGAAAGGTGCTACTGAGAGAGTTGGCATTTGTGGGTGCAGCAGGATGCAGGAATCCAGAACCTGGCCCTTTGGCAGTTGTAGTGTGTGGGGTAGGGTTCTGAAGAGATGTGGGCGAAAGGGAAGGTTGGTCTTGGACTGACAGTTCCTTCTCAATCAGGTCTGCTAAGGCTTTGCGGGTGATGTCAAAGGGGTCAAACCCTAAGTCGTCCTCTTGCTGTTTGGAGGAACCAAACCCAAAAGCTGCTTGCCAGTCTGTGGAGGAGGATACTGGTATAGTTTCTGTCAGAGAGAAACAGGATTTAGAACAAGAATTAGTAACTATTTAACTGTACAAAAAATTTCAACTTGTGGATCTGAATACGTGCTTAGTTATCTTTCATATAATACTTCTTTATATATTCCCAAGATGCCTTAATTCCTCATCTTAGAACACCATTTTCAGATCAAACTCTCAGATTTCTACTAAAGGCAAGTGGCAGAATTAAGAAATAGTAGTTTTACTGCAGAATTGCTCTGTTCCTGAACTACAGAAAAACCCTATCAAATACACATTTTCAGTAATAGTACCAAGTACAAAGAGATCAATAAACACTTGCTTTACACCCACATTACTTAATGAAAGTGTCGGCAAACAGAACATAAATAAGGCTGTTACTCAGTTCAGTACTTTGTTTCCAGCATTAATGCTGTGCAAGAAAGGTGGGCAGATGTCCCCTCTCTCAAAAGAAGGAACCCCTGGGCAGTGGTTTACAAAACAAAACCAAAACCAAACAAACAAAGGAACAAAAAATCCCATACTCTCTACCATTATGAAGAAAAACAAGCTGAATTCTTGAGCAGACACTGATAAAATAAAACACGGAACAGCATTACAAAATATTGTTCAATACTTTGAGGCAGCATTGCAAAAAAAGAGTTCTTAGAATTTGCCTGCATTTTCAATTACAACTTCATTTCACTATAGGTTAAGTTTCTTATTCAGGTCCAGGGAATGCTGGGTCTGCTCTCACACTATTTTTCCTCAAAGCTGTGGCCATGTACCAAGAATCGGGTGGTATCACTCACAACATTAACTCCCTCTGCTGGCAGGGACCTAGTCTGCTGGTTTAAGTAGTTCTGTTGAGTATTCTCTCTTAGAAAAGAAAATTGCAGTTTTATTTTCACTCTAAAATCCATGACAGCACATAAATAATTGCTAGACAGAAATTAGTTTGGCCTTTGCATTCTTAATTAAATAGTAACCATACATTTTATATTAATTATAAAACAAACAAGACTTCTACTACCTGCAAATTGTCTCTCACTGCCACTTAAACCTCACAAAACTGGTATTTAAAGTACCTCAGCAGCAAGTAATTTCCATGGTAATCAATTCTGCTCAAACAGAATGATGACATCCAGAAGCAAGATAAACATCAAAAGACAACTAATCACTAAGTAAACTAACTCTGTTCTATCATATCATTTACACTCTATTTTTCACTGGTATTGTTTTGTTTAATTTTCTAACAGTTCCCTCAGGTTTATAATGTTTGAGTTCTTAAATACTGTTACCCATACCCAAGATTATATAAATACACCTAAAAGGATGTTTCATTCATGTGAAGTGATATTCATAGGAAAGTACCTGGAAAATACAGGTAACTTTCAGCTGACACAATTAACTGTACTTTTATCTCTTCTGAATTTATAGAACCTCACTTCAGAAAGAGAAAGATTAGGAACCTTCAGATAACCACACAGGATACTAAAGAAAACTCTGCATTCTATTGAACAGCTTCTGATATTGGAGTTATAGATTATCACAGACTATTACACCAATATATACCGACACCACGTATTTTCCCCACTCTCATGAAAAGCCTGTGACATTAAACACTAAAGCATACATGTCACGCCCTATTATTTGGACAGGCATGTTGCTAAGAAAAATTAAAGCAAGCACTCAGATAATTTAGCCATGCAGCCTGAAAGCTCTGTAAAGTTTCCTTTAGAAGATACCCTTAACTACAAATGAATTGCACTACCTAAGTGACAAATCTTCATCATTTATGAAGGTGGAAAACACAGTATGGAACCAAGAGCTTTTTGTTCTACACAGCTTTAGACCTCAGCTGCAAAAGCAAGCAGTACCCAGCCATGTAACCTGTGTACACACCTGATGTGAAGAGGCTCTGTGGTTCTGGTGCTGTGGGCCAGTCATTTGAAGTCTGTGGAGAGCTGGGGAACGGAGGAAGCCCACTTGGGATGGGGTTAGGGTGCCGGAAGTTGTCAGAGAAGAGTGACTGTGATTCTGTTACAGCCCCTTCGAAAGGAGACCGTGCACTGTGATTAGATGAACTGATGGGTATAACTGGATTGGTTTTTGTTAAACCAGGTGGTGGTGAAGGTGTGTCGCTGTTCGTTATCTACAGTCAAGAGAGGAAGAGAAACAGTTAGGACATGGGTTAGTTATCTATTATTTATAGATAAAATATTCTTTACTAATCCAAATTTAAAACTTCCTCAAACCTTTTGGACACAATTAGTTTAGTTAATATATAGCTCAGCACAAAGTCAAACAAAAATCTACTTATCAACAGCATTTTAAATTTTGTTTAAAATTATGATACACTTCAGAAAGTACTTGCTTCTCCAAGTGCAAGTTGCAGCAAGTCCTTGAACCCAGCTGTTAGTTTCACAGCACTTATCTTTGTCTCTTACCTGCTGGGAGCTGTCACCATTTCCTATACTGAGGGAATCTGAAGGTTTATCGATAGGGCTGCAAAAGTGGGAAAGGAAAAGAACAAGTAAGACAATCAAGAATTTAACATGAAAAATCAACATTTGCTTTCGTAGCAGAAGACAAGCCTTGAAATAAGGCAAAGCAAAATTAATTAGAAGGAATTAAGGGGGAAAGAAGTCCACTTATGTTTTTATGACCGCTTTTTTAAAACCATAAGCATTCCAACCATTTGCCATATACTGTAATGCTTCTTTCCACCACTGTCCACTCTGCTTGTTGACTGCCCTAAGTAACAAAAGAAAAGTTTCCAACATGTTCATAGCAACTCCATGCCATACAAAAAACCACAACAGGACTCTCCTGCTATGGCAGTATTTTGTAATAGTCAGTCCCATCTATGATACTACTGGAGAGAAACATGGGAACAGATTTATTTTCCAAATACTTAAGTTTTCAGTTCCCATACAAGTCCTAAATAAATGTAGGGAGAGATAAAACATTAACTATTTAGTCCTCATGGCAAGTTAAGTTTCCCATCAGCCTCTAAGCTTTTAAACAGCAGAAATTTGCTCCAAGGTCAAAAAAACCCCAACAAACCTGAGTTTTGAGATGACAGAAGGGGAAAACGACATAGCATAAAAAACCTGCTCAAATTAAAGAAAATAAAAGATACAGCAGAAAAACACCTCAGAAAGCTATTCACTGTGAATTACCATGACTTGGCTCAAATGGCACATCTCAGGATTCAGGATTCTGACAGGCACCTGTGAGTTACCTTAATTACGCTAAATACCACACTAATGAAACAGTATTAGTTCAGATTTGCATTAAAATCTTTGCTTTACAACTTAAAGGTACTCTCACTTTCCTTTGCCCATGAGAGAAGATGCAGAAGCATCAGGCTGCACAGCGCAAAACAGACCCCACAAACAAGGACCAGAAAAACACAGACTTCAGTTCCCTTAAAAGGCCAGAACTTGATACAAGTCAAATTACAGTCCTCATGTGCTAGCACAAAACAAATATAGATAACACATCTGGGTGCAGACTTCAGATTCTAGATACACCTTGCTTTCAAACAATCCTTGCTGCTGCAAAGCTTAAATACTGCAAACAGCCACAGACAGGTCAACAATTCCTAAGACTGCTTCCCCTCATATTTCTTCTTCTCATCCCAGAATGACTAGTCAAAACGCAGCAGAATTAATTCTTTGTTCTAAAGAAATTGTGTAAGAGTAATCCATCAATAAAAACTTTTGGGGAAAAGAGCATTGATTGAGTCAGTATCTTTAACAGATAAATGGAGCTGAAGTATTTATGACTACAAAAGTAAAAATCAGAGGAACATTATTTATAGACAAGCATTACTCCAGTGAAGATTTACAAATAATTTCTATTCAGTGATCCAACAGCATGAATAAAGTTCTTCCATTTGAACCAAACTGCTTTTGGTTAGTAATTTCTGTGTGACTGTAACACAAAAGTTTGCTGTAGACTTGGTTTGGTTTTATTACACAATCAATTCTGATTGTAGAGTTGATATTCCAGTCAAATTCTTTTCTCACAGCTAACAAAATCATAAAGCTGCAGTTTAAAAAGCTATGCATAAGGCAACTTGTAACAACTATATAAATGCTGAAAATGTTTATTATACTTGAACCTGCCTAAGGAACCTTTAGTTGCAAGGCAAGCTTCCAGCCCTCAGGAATCAACAAGACTCATCTATTGGCTACAATATTTTTACTTACATTTAATACATTCTTTCCAGAAAAAGAAGGAAGTTTTGTATCACTAGTGAGATGCAACCACAGCTTCTCTGATCACTCAACCGGCTGCTATTAAGCCTAACAAAAAGGTACCACTTTCAACAGCACTCTGTTTATGTATGGGTTTACCTTGTTAGTTTCCCATTCAACCTCTGAATGAGCCTAAGCAATATTACCTAAGGGGGTCCATAAAAAACAAAACAGCACGGCTACAGACTAAGATTGGAACTGCAAGTGATGCTTATGATGGAAGAGGACACCAGTTCTATTCAAGGAGGGCACCAAGGAAGAAAAAATGTTGGCTGGCAATAAGAGATTATTGCAGGCAGATGAATTACTTCCTCTACACAAAGAAGCCTCAGTTGAATCTGCTGCCCTATTGTTCCTGTAACTGAGTGGTAATAGGGGAACCCTTACCTCTGCAGTTGTGTTTCTGGAACACACCATTGTAAAGAAACGACAGATATTCAGCCCTAACATTTAACTTCCCTCTATTGAAGCTTTTCCAAGTGACAAGCCTCCTGATGTATAGCAAATAGCACGTCACTTTTGTGGAAGCTTCTGTATAGAAAAAAATTGAAGGGCTCAGCTCTGGCTGGGACCACGCAGTTGTACAAGCTGCTGATCCCGTGGTTTTTCAGTTCCCCTCAGCCCTTACCTGTACCATCTCTTACTAACTTCATGTTAGGGTTCTCCTGCATAATCTGCCAATCGGTCTTTTTGACATGGGCTATGGTAAGCCCGGCTTTTTGTGACCTGATCAGGATTTCAATCCAGCTCTCCAACCAGAGAGTGAGAGAGACTGGAAAATCATTCCCTCCACACCAATCAGTGAGAGAGAAAGCAAGCTATCTGAAGTATAAAAGGCAGCACAATTACCCGAAATCTGAGTCTGCACCATCTGGAGTCATGTGTTCTGGGTCTGTGCCATTTTCTAATACAGGAGGCGTTTTCCTGTGTTCCATTGTTAAACCGTTGGCTGATTTACTTGAACTCTGTAATGATGGCCAGGCATCTTTGTTATTACTGTTGGGTCTGGAAAAAGGCAAGAGTAAAATAAAATAAAATATAAAAGGGAAAAAAAAAAAAAAAGAGTTCGAGTTATGAAGAAAGTGCTTGAAAAATTGTAAACACTGGGGAAATAAATCCTTGTGCCAGACAACCCATAAGAATAGATTTATCTGGATATTATTTCTCAGGTTTTAAATGGTGATGACTCAAAAAATAATTAATGAGATAGCTGGGGGAGAGAGAAAACCAAGGATAATTCCGTTTTCTTCACTGAATAAATGAAGTCTAAACTTATCCATTTGGGGAAAAGGAAAAAATTAGAATAAAAATGGGAGGAAAAAAAGCCATCAACAGTTCAAGTATCCAGACCTCTGCACACCTCATTGAAGTATCTGCAAGTTCTGTAAGTCATGAGCTAAATAGCTTTCTTTACATACATGTTTTTTCATATTCCAGGCCCTATCAAGCCTGGCTACAACAGATGAAGTTGATGTTTTACACCTACACAAGCATCCACAGCTTTGCTTACAGACCGTGAGATCAGTCAGACCAACACAATATTCATTCAAGAAGCTTTCTAAAAAAATTTTTTAACCCAGAAGTACCTCCTGATGCTCCCCTTCATTAGTATGTTCTGAATACATGGTCCATACTCTATGTATTTAGTTCAACTTAGCAATTTTATAGTGAGGATCCAGAAATTGCTGCAGCTGCTCATAGCAACACAAGTGTTTCCTACACCTACTCCTTCAGATAAAATCAGTAGTAGTAGCTGCCCTCAAATCTCAGTTAGCATTTTAAGATTTGCTGTTCTGTGTCCATCTTCTCATATACCAGTACAACATGCACACAGATGAGCCTTGACCTGACTTACAGATTTCACCTTCGCTTTGCACACATTTGGAATAAGTCAGAGACAGCGAGCCAATCAGATACAGAACATCAAGGAATGAAGACACAGCAGCAGCACAACATCAGTCATTTAATATTCTCACCCACAGAAAAATGGTCTGTAATCTACATATGTGAAAAGTTTCAGTTCATGAACATTTATTTTAAATATCCAAATTTATGTCCACTGCAGTGTCAATCTACCTCTATACTAAAACTAACGTTCAAATGTCAGTTAAAAGTCAGTTTTGCATCCAAGGAGAAAGGCAAAGAGAAAGAAACTGGTTTATGTTTTGGAGTGGATTTTTGTGCCTGTGGGTTTATTTGTTTTGGTTAAGTTCAAAGCTGCATGCTTCTGAAGGGCTGTTCTCTAAAAGATCAGCAGGTGCTTAACAAGTACTTCCACTTGGGGCATAAGAAAGCATTCATTTCAGCTCTTTAGAAAAAGGCCATCAGGAAAATAAACATGGGATCTGTTTTAAATGTGGAATATAACTGCAATTGTAACAGAACAGTCACCATGACTCTGAAGTGACATACCAAGAGATGAGTACATAAAGTGGCACTGGGGAATTTTAAGCGTTGCCATCCGCAGGAATAAAAGGTCTGCAAGCAGGACCTTTCAAATTAGAAAACAATTGTGGAAAAACATTTATCAGTTTAACAAACTGCTTTCTATTACCAGATATTTAAAATTAAACATCTACTATTCGAAACTCAACTTCTGTTCAATCCCAGAATGGAACAGGAATCCTGCACCCCAGAAACAAGAACCACCAGAAAATTGTCAGAGGCTGTGACAAACTGCCTGAAATATTACTACGGTATCAAAGAGTAAGACAAAAACAAGAAACCAATTGGATAGAAAGCTGTGAAGGAGAACACCACACATTCAGCAGCTCACAAGCTACACTTTGTACTGATGAGACAGGATGAAGAAACATGTCAAAATCCCAGCTGCAAGAAGAAATTCACTTGGCAACCCAAAAGGTGGTGCCTAGCCATTAGCAAAGAACAGAGTGACAAGAGAAATTAACTCTACACCACTTGTTGCCTTTAGAGTAATGTGCCATTTTTTCCATAAGCACTCCAGACTAGCCAAGCTCCAGCTCCTAATCGCTTTCTAAAGGCTTAGAAGTGTGCTGCAGTTTCAGACAGGGCATTCTTCCCTTGCTAATATATTTTATTTTGCAGGGATCTAATTGGGTTTCAGATTAAAATCAGTTCAGACTTGGAACATTAAATAATCAATACCCAAATACAAGAAGTGGCACATTTGTTTTATTTGCTGCACTTGACCTTCCAAGTCAATATTGTACCAGTTCCCAACAAATAAGAAGTGGCACTGTCTTTTAAAAAACAGGATCCAACTGGAAGCTCTGATCCCTTGCAGTCAAAGATATGACACTTCCTCCAGAAGTTAAAGAGAATAATCCCAGTACACCAGCTGTGATACCAGTTCTCAGAATTATGTTCTGCTTATTCAAGCTCCACTGGTAATATTTTAGATACAGTACCCTCTTTCTTATTCAGACTGCTGTGCAGTGATGCTGCCACTGGCAAAGTATTGTCTGAAAAATTCAGTAGTGGATACACTGGCACACCACACAAACCCTGATTACAAGGCCATCGTGGCTATGAAGAGAAATCTAACTTTCACACTCCACTCTGCCCACCTCCTTTATGACAATCTACAAAAAGGAGTGGAGGAAATTACCTTAAATATGACATTCAAATGAATAATTCACATGACTCATGACCTTCCATTTATCTTTTTGTTACTATATACTCCTATGGACAGAAATCTTTTCACAACTTACTAAAAAATGCTTGAAAATATTGAAAAATATTGTTTTATCAACTCATAGTAAGTGATATCTGCAATTACAATGTAGTGAAAAACACAGGGACTGCACTATAAATTATGATGTAAAAAACAAATATTGAAACTATAATGTGTCTCAGCTATGAGAGTACAAACTGCATTCATAATGAGACCATACCAAGAAAGTTGACATCTGGTCTTTAACAAATACGATGCGATTCTGCCAATATAAAATACAAGGTCTTCTTTCAGAACAAGAATATCTTGTTCTGAACCACTGATCCAAATGCACATTTCCTCCCCAAGACAGACACACACACACACACACACACACACTCTGTATTAGAACCAAGTGGTACATGTCTATCCACTGAGAAAACTGCTGTCAGAGCTTATCCTATAATAGGTACCAAAAAGAACAGGCAACTTAGAGGATGTAATAGGAATAAGGAAGTTTGCTTTGGAATAACCAGAAAGAAAGCATAGCCAGGCAGTCCAGCATCAGTAGTTACGCATCATACCTCTGCAGTGCTGTCACTTTGTTCTTGTTCTTGTCAACTGTACCCGTAGATAACTGGAGAAAGTTGGGGTTTAGTTTGTATAATTCTTGCAGTAGTTTCTGTTCATATTCCTGGTGTTTACCCGCCTAAGGAAAGAGAAACTCAGTGAATGAATGCTAGTTTAAGTCAAATTTTTATAGTTACAATTTCTATATATCATTTTATATACAGATATAAAAAGTATGTATGTACATCCCAAAGTAATTAGTAATTGAGCTTTTACAACTCAATGGGTCATTCCTGACAAACTCAAGCCAGTGCTTCTCACTCTCAGCACAAATGTGGTCTCAACAAATTTAAGGTTTGCCTAGAAATCAGTTGGATGCACTTACCAATTTATAATATTTTGAGACTTCTAAAGCAGAAAAATAGCTACAACCTTATTAGAACTTGCTCCTCAGTTCTAATCAAGAGCTTCACAATATACCTTATAAATTGTAAACAGCTAAATTTCCCAGGCAGTCTGCACTTGATATATCAACCACACTAATGTTTTCAGAGATGGGAAAGTAGTGAGTTCCTCTTAAACCGGAAGTCTCAAAATTGAAATAATTTTACATCACCTTAATAAAAGGTGGTCTAAGTGTTCAGTGTGACATGGCAAGCAGTGTATCCTAAGCAATAACTGAAAAATCATTCTTTCTAATAACTGAAAAACTGAATTTTTTTTTTTTTACTAATTGAATCAATTGAGAATAATTCCTTGTTTTCAGAAATTGAGGAGGTCCAATCCAACTGGCAAGTGAAGGAAAAGAGTGTGTTTCAGTCTACCTTACAGATAACATTCCATGCTATATATAAAACAAACCCAGCAAGATCTACCCCCACCCCAACATTTAAAGTGACATCTGAAACAAACTCAAGATGAGCATTCATGTTTTTTGTAGGTTGTTATGACACTCCAAGCTAACACTCAGTATGTGCAAGTTAAGTATTGTCATGTGTTGAATCAAGACACAAAATAGAACAGAGAACACGAAGTTTTCAACAGCTTTTATCTACTGTTTCCAGATACTAAAACATGTTCTTTAGCTAAGGAAACAAGGGCCAAGATCTATGGTCAGGTCTTCTGCAACTTAGATAACTTATGTGTTTCAAACCTATCACATCATTATTGATTCAAAAGCTCTCACACTACTTAGTACATTTCAAATTTAACATTTTTCACATTAGTAAATTAATTCCCTTCATAAGTGTTTTGGTGGAACAAGAATGGTATTAATGCATCAGCAACAAGGATACCCTCCGAGAAAAATTTTATCAGCTAAAAGAAAAATATAACTTGGTTTTTTAAAAAAAAATACACACAATTATTTGACAAAATTCAGAAAACAGTACTGCTGAGAAACTACATTCCCTTATGGGAAACTGCATGTCTCATTTGAATACTCTAAGTCAGTCGAACACTATATATACCTCCAGTTTGTGGCTGCTTAATTCTCCAGTTCTCCATTACTGGCTGATTCTGAACATGTCTTTATGTAGTCAACCTACACAACCCTCAAAAAAGGATATTGAAACATCTGGTGTATACATCATCCTAACCACTTCGTCAATGTCTACATCCAAGCTGCTAGCTACTGTAGAAAAAACTGTGGTTCTAGAGTATGGTTCACATAAATGCAAACTTTGAGATATACTGCACCCTGGAAATGCTTCTTTCACCATCCACCATGAATAGAATATAAGCAACTAGCTCAATGCACAGATTTGCACTGCAAACATTAAGCGTCTGAGTAAGAAGAAACCTGCCTGGGTATCTCCTCTTGCTTCAGTGGCAAAAGACTGAACATGATGGCCAGGTACATCAGATGCCAGTCTTACCTTAGCTTACTTGTCACATAATTGCAAGAAAGATTAAAATCCTATATAGGAGCTTGCAGGAACTGTGCTTTATTTATAACAAGCAACCCAGAGGCCAAACTTAGCATCTCCAACCCACCTTACCTAAATTCCCAACTTCACTTTCAGAGACTTCCCGGAGTTCTACCAATTCCTTTCAGTTTGTCACAAGGTTAGCTTTATTAACACTTATTTAACCTAGAATGCAAGTTCATCCATTGACAATTTTTTAACAGAGAAGCAAAGTCTGCAACAGTGAACATTCAATCACATTAAATGGACCTGGAAATTCACTGACACTAATCCAAATACAAGAAAGTTGGCACACTGAAAGCACAATGCACTTTTCATCAGCTGTGTCATTTCCAATCATTTCGAAGAAAACAATATGAGATCAAAAAAAGTTTAAGCAATGTAGCAAGGAACAGAGAAGGAAAATTCATGTAAGTCACCAAAATCAAGTACAATCCACTCAAGGCTTCTGAAGGAACTCATGTGAAACTAAAATCCTGGTTAAAGGATGTAGCCTATCAATTTTAACTGACAGTTGAGCCAGAGGACTGACAGATTGCCACTGCCTTCTACAAAAAGGGCTGTAGAAAACATCCTGTCAACTACAGGTTGCTAAGTTAAACCTCCATCCCTCCACAAAGATTGTATATCTATCTTATTAAGACAGATAGAAGTTCGTGGATAAACACAAGCCACTGGGATTGGATCTGAACATCTTTTGTGAAGGGGAATCTTGCTTCACTAACCTGACGGAATTCTCTATAGAATCAGTAAGGATAAATAAAGAGGACACACAATTTTAAAAATAGTCTTTGATAAAGTTTCATGCCAGTTATTTACTAAGCTGCCATGGAATGGAGGAAAGGCTCTTGTGTGGATTGAAGCTGGTTTAAAGGTGCAAAGGCAAAGTAAGACTTACTGGTCACTCTTTTAGGGTAGAGAAGCAAGCAATGAGGACTGATGACTGGCATCAGTTTTATGCAACACCATTGGCAATCATGAATTACAGAATCATAGAATCATTTAGGTTGGAAAAGACCTCAAAGATCATCAAGTCCAACTATTAACCAAACAGCTTCCTCTCTGCTTACTTGTCCTAGTCAATATGGCCCCTTTGCAGTATGCATATAAGATGTCATTACAAGACAAAGCAAATGACTTAGGATTTCGCTGTCCTTCCACAGATCATTCGGATGCAGGACTCTACCTAGCAAAGGCAGGTAGAGAAAGGAGTGAAAAGCAAGTTCTTTGCTGACAATACCAGGATCTTTGGGTAGTCAACTGCCATGCTTATAATGAGTAACTCCAAAGAATCTCAGAGAAATCAGCAAAAAAGGTGGCAAAAAAAATTCAGAGACATGTCAAGTAACACACGAAGGGAAAAGCAGCCTAACCCATACTAACCCTCTATTTATCCGTGAACTAGGCGTTGCAACTCAGAGAAGAGATGCTGAGGTTACTGCCAGCAGATCTCTGAAACTTCTAGTTGATTATGCAATAGCCACAAAAATATGTGCTGGGCATCATTAGAAAGAGCACTTAAAATAAAATACAAAACAACCCAAACAAAAACAAAATGGGAAAAAAAGCACATACCACACTACACATAAAACACTGAGGACTGAGAAATTAAACTCTGCTTCCTCCACATCAAACATCTGAGCCCTACACCTCAAGGACGACAGTTAGGAAGTATAGAGAAGGGCAACAGAAATTATCACAGAAAGAGAGGAACTGCTTGACAAGGGAGTTTAAAAGCTCAGAAACTGATTTGGAGAGAAATTAGATCATTTTCCCACATCACAAAGGCAATGAATACAGGTTCTTGCTTTCAGCAAGTACTACAAGGCTAAGATTAAGAGACACTTGACAAAATTAACTGGAGATGAATTTAACACAGGCAAAAGAAAGCACTCTATAAAACAGCTGGTGAACTTCTGGGGCTTGCTGCCACAAAAGGCTATAGAGTTGACAGGGCCAGCAGGTTCAAAATGAATTAAATAAATTCATAACTGACAGCTCTGTAAAACCTAAAATGCCTCGACAGGAACACACCCTCAACCATGTATAACACATCATATCTAGGTGGTGGGAGAAATACAGGGATACGAACAGGGAAGGTGACCTGGTTTGCAACATATCCTTGAATTTTACCATCTATTGCAATTATCAGCAACAAAATATATACTACAGGGACTATTCATCTGAACTGGCAAGAGGTTCATCATGAAGATGTAGCTGAAACCCTCAGAAAGAACTGCTAATTTGTGGAAAAAGCATTTAATAGATATGAACCCTCATTCTCTGGCTTACACCAGCCAGCCTAACACACCACAAATTCTACTGGAGCAACATTTGTGCTGATGCCAGGGGCAGGGACTACCCTGCTTCATGAACATACACATGCAAAAATTACAGCACGGATGGAAGGCTAACCTATTTGAGACTGAGTTTAACAGCTTTACCATACCTCATGTGTAAGGACAGAGGCAGACCCAAAAGACCTCAGAATGCACATCTGAGACAGTAAAACTATCTATTTACTTGGTGCCCTACCCTAGATAAGCATTTTGATGTTGAGATAGTAAAAACAATCCCAGCATCATTGTTTATGCCCTATTATAATTATCCTCAGTGTTTTATTTGCAAATGCTTTCTATACTTCACAGGCTAAAAGGGATATCAGAATTCAGATACCATGGTCAAGCACAGTACAGTAAGTCAATCCATGATAAATGTCCACACATACAAATGCTACAGGAAAACCCAGATCTGCACTAACTGCTTTCACAGAGATTTAAAATAACGGTACCTTGCACTGGTATGAGAAAAAAGGGCAAATAGCTAACTCAAGGTTATTTGAATTCTTGGTTAAGAGTTTATCTCCATCTTTTTGACTCATGGATACTCACCAGACTTCTCAGACTTTGAGAACAGCATGCAATGAAAAAAATGAACTAACTGTTCTTCTCCAATATCCAAACTGGTTAATCACCTTCTGGATTTGAAAATCCATCTCTGCCATAACATTCAGCAACAGGCTACATTACAGATATTAGACCAAATCATAGACAATAAAAGACATCACATTTCACATGTTTCCCATTCATTACACTTACCTGCATTTCTTCTTTTGTAAAACTGGCTGCTTCATCTCCTAGCTCATGTAGATACATGCAGTCTGGCTTTGGACACTGCATATTTTTTAGAAAATAACTGCAGTATTTTGTTGTACCTAATGATGCCTGAAGGTAAAAAAAATCATTACTTAAGTGGTAGAAGTTGGAATGTCTCTCACAGCATAAAATAAAAACCCACATATTTTAGCAAAAACTTTTCTGATTTTTGGAGTTCCGCCATAATGCATTTTTTAATGCAGAGAGACTAAAACACCTATCTGTAAGAAATCTATATATTTGAGAATTAGATCTGTAATTAGGATGTATTTCTATTTTCGTCCAATCTAAATAAATGCCAAAATTAGAGCCTCAATAAATATCTGCACTCATAATCATAACGAGACAAGTAAGTAACAGGGTCAGGAAATGAGTATTAACTCGATGATTTTCTCTAGCCAGCAATTTGGCCAAGTGGGCCTGGACACCTATTTACACAGACACCACAAGGAAAAAAACTTGCATTTGCCAAGGAGCTTTTGAGAGATGTGGTGTTTGGGCTACAGAAATGCTCTGCAAAAGCAAACAGTCAGGTTCTCACATTGTACTATTACACTAGACAACAAAAAAGCCACTGTGAGAATGGGGAGATGGTGCATCCCTTCTTAAAACAAAAGTTTTGAGACAGTTATCTGCTAGCCCAGCAAAACATGGCCTGCTAGAAGCTCACTGAACTTTTGTGCTAGGAAAAGAGATCAAAACCCAATACCCAGTAAATTGGACATTTTTGTTTATCAACACAAGATTATCCACACAAACAATATTCTATACTATGCACTGATATTGGTGTCCTAGCACATATACATAAAAATGTAAAAATATTACCACCTTAAGTGTTCTGCCATCTACCACCACATTATTGACACACTGTATGGCTCTGAGGGCATCCTCTGACCGGATGTAGGTTACATATGCACTGGCACTTGGACCCTAGAAAGAAAACATACAGCATTTTATTGGTTGGTTGTCTCTCTCAAGACAGATCTGATGATTAAGTTGCCTTTTCAGCAGCTCACTTCATAAAATGGTATATTCAAGGCTAGACGCTTTTAACAGGAAAGCTGTCAAAAAGGGATAGAATTCATACGAACTCGTATGTGATGCATAAAGAACTGAGCAAATAAATGCATCAAAAACATTGCTTGAAAGTTCTAAAAATACTTAAAGGCATTTTATTCCCAAAATGCAGATTAGTGAATAAATGCCACACTGCTGCTTCTCTGAAGGTTCTCACCTTGTCTCCCAGTTCTTAATTCTTCTGCGTTGCATCCTGTATCCAACTCAGAGCTTGGCTGGACAATGCCTCAATAACTTAGCAGTAATTCTATTTTTGCAATGCCTTTTCTTTATTCTTCTCTTGAACTTATTGCTTAATCAGAAATAGGGAGCTCTGGATTCACTCTGCACACATCTATTTTCTCTAAAAGGAATTAAATAAACCCCATAAAACAAAACTCACAAGAGCCTCTGACTTACCTGTGAGCCTGCATATGATGTGCTGTTATTAATGACAACTTTATGTATTTTACCAAACTTCCCAAAATATTCTGGTCGTTTCAAAACCTACAAGGAAACAAAGTCACAGTGGTATATTTAGAATTCACACAGAGGTGTACTTTTTCTTCTGTGAAACTGTGCAACTAAAGCCTTTACCTAATATAAAACACATCTCTCCTACAAAGAGGAGCACAGCATGTAGATTTAATTTGTTTTTCCACATAAAACATGGTTACTTGCAATACAGAGTATGCTGCCACCTCAGAACTTTAATGACAGATACTCCATATTTTATGCCAAATTTTTAAAAGTGCTTTCAGTACTCAGATTACCCAAACCATATCCTGGCAAGATATATCCCAATCAGCATGAAATGTTCCTCTATATATCTACTTTATAATCTGAAGAAAAAAAACCAAAAATCACTTTCACTCTAGTTATAAAACAACCTACCCCCTTAAACTTCCATTCAACTGTATTATTAGGTACAAAATGCTGAATCCTGACTCACTTGCCCCTCTCCAAAGAGAGAGTAAACCAATTAGCTTGAGATAGTCTTAAGTTTTCCGAAGATCAAACTAAGTACAGGGAGACAATGTAGGGGAAGAAAAAAAACCAAAAATCACTTTCACTCTAGTTATAAAACAACCTACCCCCTTAAACTTCCATTCAACTGTATTATTAGGTACAAAATGCTGAATCCTGACTCACTTGCCCCTCTCCAAAGAGAGAGTAAACCAATTAGCTTGAGATAGTCTTAAGTTTTCCGAAGATCAAACTAAGTACAGGGAGACAATGTAGGGTAGGGACTTTCAGAATCAACATCATGCCAAAATGAATGAGTACCACATCCCTGAAAGAAAAAACATATGCCTATCTTGCCCTTCCCTGAATGAGTTAGTGATAACACACCATTTAGGGATGCTGTGCAAAGCAGCCACATCACTAGCATATTAAGCAACTCTGCTGAATAATGGTTACCTGTGTGCCAATGAAATTGGAAAAACATCTGACACACACCAAAAGCCTTTCTTTTGCCATTCCTGTGACAGAAGGAGGTGCAAAAGTCTCAGACTGAAGCTAGGTAAGATAAGGGTATTTCTAGTTCTAGACAATAACCTGACAGATTTTAAACCAAGATTTGTTACCTCAGCTCCATATTAACACTGAATAGTGCAGTTAAACTCCACTAATCCAAGAACTTCACTACCTCCTCTCCCTTCTCAAGGGAGCATCAATGGCTTCAAGATCTAACAGTACCACATTTGGATCATCCTGTAGAACTACACGGCACATTGTATACACAACCAGTCGTTCGCTGGTCTTTTCTGACTGTTCTTCACTTGGTCTATATCCTCTTGCAATATCCTGCACCCACTCTCTGGGCATCATTCCAGAGGAGACTCACAATCCTGAAGAAACTCCTCTGCAATATGCCTGAGTACAGCAGATCATACTCCTGATGAGATCTGACAGCATAGCCTTGACAATTTTCCTAAGAGCATGTCAGTAGAAGAGGATCCACATGTACTCCATTATGATCCACATACCTATTTCCAGAAACAACAAATAGTGGCCAACCTCCCTTCCCAAATAATCTTCATCTATGGAGTTTTTTGCTTGCTTAATAATTAGAAAACTTGAATATACTGAATACTTTAACCCACGTCTCTCAGGTTAGATTTCCTGGAAATCAAGCAATCTTAGTGCTATAAACCATATTCAATAAGTATGTATCTTCTGGTGTGTCACTGAGAATACTGCTACCAACACACCTAGTACAGCATACCCCCATCCCTGCAAAAAAACCACTTCTAGTTACTTCAAGTATTCAGTGTAGAATTATCTTAGGTTTAAATAAAATAACTCACTTTATCACTGTTCCTCTATCCGGTCAAAGAAATCACATTCATTTTTCAATAACAAATAATGCCAAGCCAGTGCTGACAGCTGCTTACAAATACTTGCTGCTACATTTCAGTAGAAACTGAAGTGTTATACATCAGATCCGTTTTAACTTTTTTTCTTCCTTCCTTATCCTCCCTTTTCTCCCCCTTCACTAAAAGCAGCTTTTTACATTTGTTCTTTCCCAGACTACCAAAATACAGACTATACTCTGAGTCCTCAGCAACAGTCACTTGTGTGACATTTCTCCAGACAATTTAGTCTGATAACATGAATTTAATCTGGCACAGTAGTTTTGAAGACATATCTTATCCTGTACTACATTCCCTCCATACTCTAAGTCAAGGGTGGGCACAAGGGTATTTCAATAGTTTCTTGAGAAAGTTAAGAGCAAGATCTGCAAGTGTGAAGTGCTCACCTCTGGATCTGCTAGGCGCTGAGACAGCCCTACCACGAAGACAAGGTTCTTCTGTACAACCCGTACACTGGCCAAATGTTTGCGATTCTCTGATATCTTCTGTTTCCTCTCATTTTGTTTCTGTTTCTTTTCATTTTTTATCCTCTGCAGCTCTTCCTGGGAGAGTGGTTTGTACACTGCTGGATCTTCTGGATATGGCTAAATATAACAAATACCATTAAAACCAACCCAGATAAGAAACAATACATTTGAAAATCAGTAATCCTGACATTTTAATGCACAAATTTCATTCTGTTACACTGGTCTGATTGTTAGGACCACCCACATTATAGAAGCATATTCAATCCTTTGGGAAAGATGAACATCTTGCATATTTTAACGGAATTCTCCTATTTATAGACATAATACTGATTTGGGCAATAGGCACATTCTAACCCAGCTGCCAAGTCAACTACAACATTACAAGCAGCTGCAACACGGCAGCCAACACATCTTGTTAAAAGTTTCACTAATAGAGCATACTAAGCAGGGTGAAGGCATGCATTGCATATCCTCTAGTTGTCTGATACAGATTTAGATACTTAGGTGTATTAGACTACAAGAAAACAAAATACTTATGTAGCTTCAGTGGTCCAAGTTCAACACATTAACACCATCACACTGCTCAACCTTTACATGGCTAACTTCTAGTGAAGAGAACAGATTCCAGTACAGTTCCTGCATACTGATTTAACAATATTCTTGCCATGCTTGAGCCCTAGTTTGAAAATTGGTCTCTAGCTTCCCTGGACAAAAGTGCATTTTTAACCTCAAGATTATCATCCAGAGGTAACTCCTCAAACACAGACATAACACTAGATTTTAATCTCAGAAGTATCCAGCAGAAGTACAAGTGCCCTCAGACTTACCTAGAAAGACTGCTCTATTCATGCAGAGCACTGCTATAAAGATACTATTTTAGCCGGGTCTTGTAGACTAAAGTGCCCTGTTCTCTGCTTTGAGTAGTAATCTGGGGCAGTCCCATGTTCCTTACCTGTCCCAGTTTTTTCAGACTGAAAAGTTAGATTTCACACCATATAAAAAAGTAATGCTAAGCACAAAAAGCAAGCGCATAAAAATATATTCCAAATAAAAAGAACTGTTTCTAAACATTGAGATGAAGCAAAAAATGAGAAGAGTACAGGAGATATGCATTAAGGTAAAGACTTAAGACAAAGAAATTAAGCTCAAACTCACCAGTATGTTGGACTAAGGTCTTTCTTTGCCTGCACTACAATAATCAAAGGGTTTAGTGTGCAAGTCTGACCAAAATGAATTTAACTTTTTCCTGACTGTCCTCTGTTAATGACAGAGTACAAAACCAGCTGAAATAATCTATAACCTGAGAAAAATCTACAGTAACAGATGAAAATAAGATTTAGATTAAAAGCATATATTCCTGATAGTTGCACGATGCCACGCAAAGAGCCACCAAGTGCTCAGACCTGATAATCTTCTAAGTACATCCCTGTACAAATCAAGTCTCATTTTTCGGTTTAAAGTGCTATACTTATGACACCTCCTGAATATATGCTGCAGTTGATGGCATCTGACAGTTAAACACCAAGTCCTATGGAAAATGTTTTTAGTATCACAAAGGAATTTAACCTTGTAAGATATTTTAGCTATAGCCAAAGGTGTCCTTAACATCAAAACACAATAAGGACTCAAGCTATCCTTGAAAAACAGTCAAAACTGTACCATTCCTTAAGAAGTTATGCTATGCAGAGGTAACACCAAATGCCTTATGCAGATGTACTTGATGAGCACCAATGATCTGCTTGTAAGGTCATTTGAGATTTGATATAGCCTATTATTATCATGAGTTTTAACACATATCTATCTATCTATCTATATCTATCTCAGGATTTCTGAGATGCAGAGTAATTCTGCAAGGCTTTATACTTATTTAATGAACTTCTCAAAGTCTGTGTTAGACAATCACACAGAATAAAGAACATTGTTTTGTTTTAGAGGAGAAAAAGACTGCACAGCAAAGAGTGAGTGAACTCAGTTATCACAGTCAAGTTGAGTTCAGGTAGGAACAGGAAGAAAACAAGTGCACCAGTAGAAAACAGATGTAGTTCCAAAAATATGGCTTGCCATACATCAAGGGATGTGGTATCCTATCAACAATCCATTCTTTCAGATTCATTCCTTGTCCACATCCCTCACATCCCAAGGCAAGGCTTGCAAGTGTACTGCTCTCTGGTACTGTGCAAGGAATGCATTCAGTTTTCAGTAGGTTCAGTAAGGCTCTTGAAGGTCCCAGAAAACTACAGCAAACAGTGTGAAAGTCCATCAGCTTCTTTTCTTGTCAGGTACAGCCACATTCAGAGCATATTCTCAGTGTAAAGCAGGTCAGACACTAGGTTCCTTCTCTGCACAGCTACTGAAAGTCCTGAACATAAGCCAGGAAACAACCTGGGTAGCTCAAGCATAACCCTGAACAGAACATGTATAGGTCCATAGTAAAACTAGTACTTTTTGTTTGTACAGGAGAGCACAAGAACTCGTGGTAGGCACACAACTAAGCAGCAGCTTCAGAATCAGTGAAATGTCTTCATCTCTGCAGAAAATAAGAGGCTGCTTGAACAAGGTTTTCAGTAATTAGGAAGCAGCAGCAGTTGGTTTGCCACCATGGGTAACTGCACTTGCTTGTGATGTTATCGTCTAAAGTTTTCACTCTGTACTGTGAGCTGTGCTGTACAGCTGAGTGTACTGTACTGACTGTACTGCAGAGCTGTATCATATATGAAGTGTTTCATATGTACGTTTAGCACTCTTATGACATGTTTAATGTTTCTAAGAAATATGAGTACCTGGATATCCCAACTTGCAGGACCTGTAAATTAATCTGCATGCACCTCTTGAGTCCCAAGTATAAATCAGAAACACAGTCTTAAAGTGAGAGATGATTTTCCTATTTATATATAATGTGTGGCATGGTAACAGATTAAGATATATTGCATATTTCAAGGGAGGGGGGAAGGCAAGTAAGCAAAGCACCAGAAACTAATTCTAAAAAATATTCAATATTACAAATCCTTTTCCTTTCAAATAAAGACAAAGTCAGTCTAAAAATAGGAAAAGAAATTATCTTCAGAGTGATTGCTTCCCACAATGTTGAAGTTAATGAACTCAGATGATGGTTCAGCTACCAACAGATGAATGCAGGGAAGACTGCTGCAACATGGCTCTGAAAGCCAAGCAAGGTGGATTGACTGCTGGTGCATCTCTCAGTACTATTTCACCTGCTGTTTATTCTCTGACCAACCCTACAAAGTAGGGGTAGGGAGAGGACTACAGGTATAAGTAGCTCTCAGAACTTGAAACAACTAAAATGGCAATGCTACTGACATGCACACGTTGTTTGGGGTTTGGTTTTGGGTACTTTTGGGTTTTTTTTGGTTTTGTTTTGGTTTTTTTGAAAACAAAATGCTTGTTTAACCTACTGTCACTGATGTCTTAGCTGGCAGAGGATTTGAGATCCAAATAAAGTGGCTACCTCAAGTGTTAGCAGCATTTATGCATTTTCAGATGCAAGACATTAAGGGATGCCAACATCACTGATTCGATGACTAAGTTTAGTTGACACCCTCCACTTAAGTTACACAAATTCTCTTCCACAAAAAACAGAGGCCACCTGAATAAGCGTGCCATCATGGAAAACGACCAAATTTTATTTACAATAACTGCAAGTTGCTGGTATTCCTATAAGAACTTCAGCAAAAGTTTGTCTCTTCTGAAGTCTTATTTCTTTAATCGAGACGGCCTTTGAAGAATTCTGTCTTCCTGACTAAGTTTGTCTTGTCATTTAAGTTTCGTTTTCTTTCAGATTTTTTTCCCCATTTCCCAATTATGAAAGCTGAGCTGGGATTTAGCAAGCACTTTGCTTTTGTCATTCCCAGATGGGTCACATTCCTTCCACACAATGGATGTACCAGCATTTCCCAGTTGTTGCCTTGCTACTGAGTAGGTCCTGAAATGAGAAATATAGAGGAAGTCAGTAAGGTTTATGCATAGTATACATCATACCACTTACATCAAGAAGAAAACATAGCCATTTCCTATCTATTTCAAATTATCAATTGTCGCACCAATACTCAGTTGTGGGATTAAAAGCACCAGAGGAAACAACTGACATTTGGAGACCATGAATTAAGACCAAATGTGCCTTTTACACAGAGGTAGTAGGAGAAACACGGACAAAAACATGCTGAAACTATGTTAATTTATAGGTCACGCATGTAGCAGTTTACTATTTCTCTTCATCTCTAGCACAAGGTGCTAGGAGAAAAAGTTCACTAAGACAAGAAACTAAAGAAAAAGGCAAAGCCACAACACAGGAACAGCTGTTTATCAAGTTCCATTATTTGGTGGAAAGGCAAAACAATTAAGAAACATGAAGGAGCTAGGTTTTTTTATTGTTGGATTTTCCGAGTGCAAAACTGGGACTAAGGTCTGAGAGTGCTACGCTCTAATAAAGCAACTGAAATGGTATGTATTATTCACATGACATACAGTACCTAGAGGCTGCTGAATTTTTTTTAAAAAAAGAAAAAGTAGTAACACTGCAGAGATAAAAATCGGTGGCTTTACAACCAGAACTAGCTACTATGGTGACCTGTAAACCAACTTTTGGCTTCAGAAATCTCTTTTTAAGACAGCATATTTTTATTCTAATTTGACTTGTTAGCAGCTATTGCACTCATAGTTAAGAAACCAATTGACTGGAAAGCCTGCTTAGCATCTTACAATTGACTACACCTATAATTTTGCAGAGCATCAGGAACTCAAAGCTGGACAGTTCTTTTTTTTAAGGAAGTGCTTTTTGTTAATTAAATAGATGCAATTTCTGATTCTATTTCAGAATATTCAAAGTATAGAAAGCTTTTAATATGTTAAGACTAAGAAGTACCAGTTCACAGCCAGCATTCAAGTTCAATTCATACTAGCACCTTACTTTCACAAATCAAAACAAAGCAAATGTTTGTGTACTACTGTTATTCACTGGAGGAAACTCAGACAAACTAAATCAATTGACTGCAACGACACGAACATATTCTGCACATGCAGATGTTAAGCTGTGTAACAGTTCAAGCACATACAAGTGTTTCTTCCTTGGTAGAAAAAACTCACAAGCTAACACCTTTTCAGTTAGAAGTACATTAAAGAAGCTTGAGAAAATAACAGTATATATGCAATGCACAGTTAAAAACTATCAAACTAATGGCATAAGCACCACTATAGTGTATAGCCAAACTATTTTATCACAGACTTTTCCAACATCCCCCCCAAACCTTTCAACCAAAATTCCTGGGCAGGGAATTTGTTCATTCCTCCTGTCCATAAACTAGTGCTCAAACCACTGGAGAAGTCACATTGCTTTCAATAACATTGGCACAAGTAGCAGTTTTCCATTATGGAACTGTGAATAACATACTCAGCCTTCTTTTAATATATGTTTACTCACAGTCCATTTTGCAGTAAGTGTCCTGCACTGATATACAGATAATAAAAATATGACATACCTGTTGAAGCCATTGTACCCACCATAAACTTTCCTGCTAAAATTTTGTTGCTTTGCCATGTTCTGTGCTTTAGCATTTTAAGCTGTCACAACCAATGCACACCACAGTAGATGTGAAAAAAGTGCTGCAGTCTTTCCCCCGAAACCTTACTATATACAGATAAGAACTACTTAGATATACTGAACACAAATACACATACCTGGTTCCATCTGTCCAGCACACTTCAAAACGTGGCTTCTTCAGACACATTTGATGCTGCAACTCTGTAGCTCAGAATGATTTGTTCCCAAGATCCTGTGAAGTCTCTGCATCACAATGTCTTTGTCTATACCACAAAACAAGTGTCCTCCTCAGCCCTCTCCATGCCGAACTCCTACAATCCAGTGACAGAGCTGCAACTCTACAAGAGCATCTTGTAGTGTGTAGATGAAGAAAGCATCAAGAAGAGAATCCTCATCCACTGTGAAAGAAGAGGTCTCCTTTCTCTCCTGGAATGGTCTGTATGCTTCATTCCAATTGTAGCACTCTGAGCAAACTGTATCCAATTCCACAAAGTATTTGCACATCCAATCACATGCCAGATTATTCCACATTTAAAAGTTCAGCTGTGGCAGTATCCATATTTCAGACATGCAGTGAACAGCAAGCTGCTGCTGGGATCTTCTCAAATGTATTTCACAAACTTCCAATACCGAACAGGCAAAAAATAGTGCAATAAATCCAGGTAAATGAAGCAACTTACACAAAAAAATAAATTCCAGAAATCTCACGTTGTACCAGAAGAGTAGAAATTCACTTATACTATGGAAATTGCTGTACAGCACATGTCATCTACAGCAGCTATCGTACGTGGAGAATGATTTGGCCATTTGACATATGGATCTTCCTTGTAGAACACACAGAGCTCAAATATTGCATCAAATTTGCAAATATTTTAACCAACACATGTTGCTGTGGGATAGCCTTCAGGCTTGCAGGGGCATCCAAACACAGGTTAGCAGTGATAGCTCTAGTGCAGTCAAAGGCCAAAAGAGCAACAAGAAAATAAGACTGGAAGTGCTTAGAGAACACTGTGGCAGTGAATAAAGACAGTGAGACCAAGTAAGACTACTCGGGGTCTCAAAAGGAAGCTGTAACATGAGACAGGAAGACAACAAAGGCATATACTGAGTATAGGATCATGATTAAACAGCAGGAGAAAGGCAAGACCTAAGTGGCTGCATTTACAAAAAGAGGAAGCCCCGGCAAAAAAAGTTACAATCAAGGGAAGTAATTAGAGTTAAGGAGAAGATACTGAAAAAGAATTTTATTAAACACTGAAGATAAGGAAATAATGAGGTTAAGCAAAACACTAACAGGAGGAATAAAATAATTCCAAAGAAAATAACAAGCAACTTAGAGAAGCTGAAGTTCATAGTTGTGGCCAACCAAAATATCAGCCAGATATCAAGACATGGGGAGAAATTAAGTGTGGCTCAAAGTACTAACCTGAAGTGTTTGGCAACAAGATCAGAACACCAGACAAACAGACTTGGTCTAGATTTTGAAACACTTTCAAATTGAACACTACCGGATATATTTTCCAGAGGTTTTACATGTGTCCACTAACATACAGATTTAAAGCTCCAGTGCTTTATATTTAAAGCCTGCCTCAGTCAGCTCTGCCAGTTGAGCTGAACCCTGGCCCTCATCAAACCTCTGATGCTGGAATCCTCACTGTCCTTCCTGAAAAGACTATCAATGCATGAGCACTCCAACTCCAGGGATTTTTACTTCTGGCAGTTCTCTCAGCATCAGCATGCTTTGGTTCTGATCCACAGCTTCCCCTATGAATCCAGTTCTGAATTTAATAAACCAAGACTAGCTGCTTCATAACAGCTTTAACACATATGCAGACAGAATCTGAAAGATCCAACACCTCACCCATGATCTAGGCCATGACTAGATGAATGTTTCCCTGAAGGAAAAGGATGTCTTTGGTATCAACACAATGTAAGAGCCTCGTGTTATATGCCAAGACAAGCTGCTGTTCCAGGATATTTACCTTTCTGCAAGCAGGACAAAGTCCATTCTCATCAGTGCGGATACGATGCCAACAGAAACGACAGATTTGGTAGCCACAGGTGCAAGGGAAGAAATTGATGTCATCAATTTCCAGAGGCTCCATGCAAAGAGGGCATTCCACAGGGTCTTCCTTAGCATCAGGGCTGCGAGACATCTTTGTATGTTCGCAGAGCAGCAAAAGTTTATAATAACTTAATAGACCAAGAAGGTCAGCACTTGAAGGTCTGCAAGAAGGAAAAAAGAAAAAAATTATTAATACTGTTGCCATCTTTTATTTTGGACCTTTTAATATTTCAGTTCTTCATCACTTCTCTTCCTTGACCACCACCCCCCCCCCATTATCTACCAACATGCAAGTTACTCCCTAATAAACTGGAGTGCCTTCCTACTCATGAGTGACACAAATAAGAAAGATGGCACTGGTGATGCATCTCCCCACATGGATAGACAAGCATTTTGGTAGTTCACTAGCCTATCTAGGCTTCAAAATACACTGTTGCCAAGAAATGCTTAACAGTGTATGCCATACATTGCTTCTGTTCTATCAGCTCCTTTAACTATTGCTTTCTCGAAGTCCTCTATAAATTAAAAGTCAAATCCTGCATGCAGGACTTCATGCTTAAGACCAATTTATTGCTTTGGTCAAAGACTTGGAACAATGAGATTTAGAGTAACATTTATGTCATCCATTCAGACTTTAATAGGTTGCAGAATTACCAAACAAAACCAAGAAAAGCTTCTTACTCAGGAGGATTTGTTTCTTTTGTCCATCTCATTTTTTGGTCCAGAGACTGATCTGAGATCAGACTTAGGACTACAGCATTAGTCAGATACACAGCTTTCTACTGGAGTCAAACAACTTTAAACAAGTAAACTATGCTTTTCATCAGCACCCAAATCACACCAAAGCCCAAATACATGCACATGGCTGAAAAACACCTAAGTTTAAACTTAGAATGCAGCCACAATAAAGTATTTCTGGATGAGAATTTTGAAGAGGACTAAAATTCAAGTCACCATTTTCTTAACTCATTTCCTGAATTTAGTCATTTGAACATGCTTCTATTCTGTCAGTTTAAGGATGCAGCACAAGAAAATTACACTCAGACTCAAAACAAGGCGCTTGGAGTTGTCGCTGAGATACTTCATCAGTTTGGACATTTTCTTCTTTTTTCATCTAAGTACCACTCTGGGTATGTGCAATTGTATGCAGTCTCAGCAAGCTGTCTCCATCTGCTGCATGAGGCATGCACATATATGGGACAAAATTAAGGACAAGAGCAGAATTTTTAGGTGGACCTTTGGAAGAAAAATAAAAGGAAAAAAGAACCAAAACCTAAAAACCCACTGAAAAATCACCGAAAAGATGTGACTAGAACTGACAGTTGGATGGTCATACTATATGTAACAAACTACACCACTTCTTTATAAGCAAGTGAGTTCAGAAGTCTTTTTAAAACCCAGAGATCTTTTCGCAATCACAAGTTTCCCCAAAACATCAGTAATACAACTATTATTGAACCACAAACAATCTGGAGTCCCCCTCTAGTTTCCCAGAGAGTTTTCTACTTCATTTCTAACCAAAAGCTCTTAGATCATACACTATTGAATCTTTCTCCAGGCTTTTAGGAGCAAGTCCAAAACCAAATTCTCACATCCACCTACGTGAAGAAGAGTGACATTTAATTCTGTCCTTGGAAATAAGATGACTGAATGTTTTGAGATCAAACCCTTCCTCACAGATTTCAGTATGGTGTGGTGTTAGCCTCAAGTAGCTTTGATACTTTAACAACCACCAAAAAAAGAAAAAAAATAGAAAGAAAGAAAAAAAACCCCAAACCAACAGGTCCTGTTTATGACCTTTGACATCCAAAGCCCAAAAGGTTCCAGCTCAGGTTGGGATCTCACACCTTAGAGGATAGGATCTGTTTAGCATCCGTCTGCAATACTTGTCCCTGTCCTGCACACCACTTCAGGGACAGAAATTTCTCTGCAAGCAGCTAGGAGAGAATCATGAAGAACAACAACACACATACACACAACCAAACTACCATACAAATCGACAGCAGAGAACATACATACAGCTTTGTATGGGAATGGCTGTGTGGTCATCAGGTTAACCTGTGATCACAGGCTGATATCAGAAGCCCAGACCAACTGCAATCTCAACTAGTTTAGTAGGAAGAATATCCTCTAAGCACAAAGTGCAGTTCTGGTAAACCTCTGTTCTAGAGAGAAAGTTTCACTGGATGCTCACATAAAATTAAGGATGACACAACAGCTTTTAGATGCTGTAAGGATAATTTCTCTATGTGGCATGCACTAGCAGCAACACGGTCCTCTTTCTGACCTTCGCAATGACTGAAATCAGAAAGTTAAACTTACACAATAATACAGTAGCTTTTACTTCATTATCTACACTTTCATCCATGCTACATTCACAATCATTTTGTCAGTCTCAAAACCAGGCACTGGAACTTTACCAGTGTTTTCTACAGAGAACACTAGCAGAATCTGACTTGAAGGAAGGAAAGGATTAGTTTGTTTGGGAGCTTTGTCTTACTTTCAAGAACACATCCCCACTGGCTGAAGAGTGGGAGGGACTGTTAAAAGGCCACAGAACATTATTTAACAGCTTATTATGCAGATAAGCTGTTAAATAATTTTTACTGCAGCCCTTACATTTCCTGTAAACTTTTCCAACTTGTATAGCAGCAAAACCATTACCAAATCAAAGGGATTTTAAAGAAAAGCACAGGATAAACTCAACAGATCCTCTTCAGTCGAGATTTGGATTTTTGTCACAAAGACAAGAGATCACAAGAGATCAGTAAGCAAACAGCAAATTCCCTTTGACTGTATACTCATTTCACCACACACTCAGCAGCTCTGAGCCTACCAAAACACATCTAAGTAAAGCTATGCTAGTACTAGTGAAGCTGTAGTCAAATGCACAGTTTTTAAGACACTTCCACCACCACAGTGAAACTTCTGAACTTACAAAATTACGATTTGGAATCTCCACTAAGAAACGTCATCAGTTCATACGGAAAAAAACACTATGACGAATTAGCTAGTGCCTCTGGGATATTCAGACAAGCTCTAACAAAACTGCAACATAATTAACACTTACGAGCTGGTTTAAGTTAACAGTAAGAGTTCAGCAGCTGCCAGCAATAATGCCAATAGTTGCTTCAAACAGCATATGGCCTGTTACTTCACAACAAAGAATAAGGAGCAGCTGTATGCTATATTTCTTGAAACTAGGTAAGGGGAAATATTTATGTACTTGGGCACAGCCCATTCAAACAACCCATTCAGAGATTCTCCACTGAAGTGTATCTCCATTTTAGAAGGGTTTATATACCAGGATCTGTGTTTGAAATATGCATCAGAACAGTGCTTTTGTTTTCAAAACCAGAATAACATGCATAGTGAGGCATCATTAATGCCTTCTGCATGAAGCACGTGCACTACCAAGAAACAGAGTAACTAGTCAGCTCTAAGGCTATTCCAAACAATTCCACATTAACGTCACAGGAAAAGTAATGCAGCGATAGCAAAATACAAAAGGCAGTATTACATGCTGAGTTTAATCCGAAGTATTTGGTCTTTGGAATAAAGTTCAAAGAGATTAAATTAATAGCATCTCAGGAGAAGAAAAGGAGGAAGGTTGTGCACGTGTACAGAAGCTATACAAGCAGCTAGAGTTTGTCCATACACTTTCCAAAACTCCAACAACTGTAGTCAAACATGCCTTCAACAGCTCCACATCCTGTTTACAGGAGACTATGCCAAAACATTCACACGAGGATGAAACAGAGGTGGACAACATCCAGCAGCATGTTTAAGACATAGTGATTTTGTAATAGGTAATAACCAAACTACAGAAATACGTAATTGTGTGCTGTCTCCCTCCTATTATACAAATTAATAAGTTCCTTTATTTTCCAAACACATGCAAAATGAAAAAAGTATAAATTTTTATTAACTTTTGTAAGTGCTTACTCAGCTGATGGCAGCTGTGTCTAATCAGCTCCACCTAACAATTGCTTCTCCTGATGATACACTCTGAACTTGGCAGTCAGGGAGAAAGTGATCCTACTGTTCACCTCAACAGAATTTTGCTTTTAATACAGCTAGTGATTTCAGTCTGTTTAGGATGCAGATGTTTGTTGCCTTTCCTTTTGCCCTTGAGGTGAACAAGTTTCTTCTAGCAGTTTATCTTCCCTATTTAAAACGGGTCATTAAAGCAAGGGGTCAGGGAAAAAACTAGCTTGTTATGCATTCTTTTTCCCCAAGCACACCAATTTGAGACTTGACACACACTCCTCCTCATCTCTCCACAGCAGACACCAGACCATTTCCATTTGCTAGCAGTACATTTTAGCACATGTGTCCTTAAAGTTCCTCCAGGCAGGCAGCTAGCTCCAGGGAATACAGACACAATGGACCGAATCCAGCCTTGATACTTACTTTAGGACACCGCAAGTGTCACAGACAGTTCTCAAAACCTAGTAATGAAAAACCTCTATAAAGGACTCACATCCCAGAAAATATCTGGAGATCTAGGGCCTCTTGAAGGAAAAAATTCAGACATGTGTAGCTAATGTTTCACTTAGAGTTCAAACATACCTGACACTTGAAGTGAAACAGGTCGGAGTCTACGCACTGAACCTTTAGTAAGGGCCCATTAAACTTACGCAAACCAACTCAGACATTTTTTCACGGCCTCATATCTCCTGAAACTCACCAGTCACGAGAAGTCTCAAAAAAGCAGTGTGGATGGTAACACCACTGGGAAGGCAGCCCCCCACCAATACTCCTGCTCCCACTCTGCAGAAGGATCAGTTCCCTTTCCACACTTCACCTCTGGGTTGATCACACGTACAAGCTGGAGGCAGAAAGGCAAGCAGCAGCTACAGTGGGTTATCCCTTCCTTACATCAGGAGAGCAGCAACAGCTCTGTCAGCATGGCACTCTCCTCCAGGCTGGCATGAGGGCAGAGTGGCCTGAGGCCTATGCTTGGGCTACCTCCTTCCACTAGTGACTGCTGAAAGGAAAGCAATATCAGTCTTCTCCAGACTCTGAAAGTAAGAAAGGCTATCACTTCATTGCATTGCAGTGACCACTGGGAAGTTACATTAAAATGTTTCATAGGCAGGCTGCAGAGAAAAGCCTGGTTTTTTCCTGTTTTAAGCACACAGAACTTAAGGAGATT